GCCCGCCTGCCCGCCCCGGCCTGCGGGCCCCCAGCTGGAGCTTACCTGCTTGCCCAGGTAATGGTCCACCCGGTACATCTCCTCCTCCTGGAAAAAGCCGCCAAGCTCTGTGGCCAGCTGCTGGGCCGAGTGGTGGTCGTGGCCGAAGGGCTTCTCCAGGACCACCCTCAGCCAGGCGCCGGGCCGGGGGCGGCAGCTGCTGTTGATGTGGCGGGCGATGTCGCTGTAGGCGAAGGGCGGCACCGAGAAGTAGAAGATCCGGCCGGCCTCCCGGCGGCCTGTGCGCCGCAGCTGCGCCTCGATGTCCCCGCTCAGGGCCACGTAGTCCTCCGCGGTCACCAGCGAGCGGTACTGGCTCAGCTGCTGGAACTGACCCTTGAGGTCGGCACAGCGATCGGGCGCCACATCCTCGGGGCAGGAGAGGGCGTCCAGGACCTTGGCCAGGAGCTCCTGGCCCTGCGCAGTGGCCGTCAGCGCAGACCCGTGGAAGCTAAGACTGTGGCCCTTCCCTGCCTCGTCCATGTACAGCTGGAACAGTCCCTGCCACAGGTACTTGCGGGCCAGGTCCCCCGTTGCTCCCAGCAGGATGACGGACACGTGTCCCTGCTGCGCCTGGGCCCGCAGGCAGCCCAGGAGGCCCACGCACACGGCCACCAGGAGCATCTTCCCGAGGCCCGGGTGCCTGGGGGGACAGGAACAAGGAAGACTCAGACAGTGTCGGTGGCTGGTGTCGGTGGCTGTGATGCTGGGGCAGACACATTTCTCGGCTGGCAAACACTTCCTGCCTGGCAAGAGGCGGCCACGGGTTTCTCAGGAAAATGGAGAGCCCCGTTTCCGCCCTCCTCGGCGGCGCAGCCCAGGGAGAGGGGCTTCCCTGTAAACAGGTGCTATGCCCGGGGGCAGGCGCCTAGCTGGCAGCTGGCACGAGAGGCGGCGGTCACCGCCTCTCCCTTCCCTCCGCTTCCCCGCGGTCACCGCCTCTCGCTTCCCTCCGCTTCCCCAGGCCAAGGTGACTGGGGACCCGGGTGCAGCGGCACTGAGGACGGGCTGGACACGGGGCCTAGCTCCCGGCTCGCCGTGGACAGCCATGCCACCTCTCTGTGCCTGTCCCCCCAGGTGGCATGGGGCTGTCAGTAAGAACAAAGTGAGCCGGCCGCGTGCCGAGCCCCACGGGAGTGGCTGCGGTTACTCCGGGGTAGAAATGGGCGGCAGGCCCGAGTGCCAACCGTGCCCGCAGTGACAGGGCCCCGTGCGTGGGCTCCGCGGGTCCAGCTAGGGGCTCTGAGAGGACCCAGTGCACGGGGTGCTATTACAGACCCCCTTCTACAGACAGAAACGCTGAGACTCAGCGAGAGGCAGGTCCCGGGTGGGGGACGGGAGCTCCTGAGCTGACCCAGGGCCTCCGTGCTCGTGGCCTCCCGAGGAAGGCAGGCGGCTGGCCCGGCACCAGCCCACACGCGCCCTGGCGTGTCTCGTGCCCGGCAGGGCCTGCGTGCTGCCGTGCTCAGCTCTGACCCCACTGCTATCCAGCCTGCAGCGCCCCGGGCAGCGCCTTGAGAGAAGGGCAGAGGGGTGAGGAGGAAAGGCGCCGCGTCAGCAACCGGCTCTCAGAAACAGCGGTCCCCATGGGCTGGCCGCTGGGCTGGCCGCTGCCCGGCGGCAGAAAAGCGCTGGGTGGACCGCAAGGGGCATGAAGCCCAACGAGACATCAAGGGTGAACCGAGGCCCTGCAGGCCTGGCCAGCTCACCTTCCCTCACCCTGCACCGCCTCTGACGTCATGCGGGGGCCGGCTCTGACGTCAGAGCCCTCCGGCCACCTTTCCCTTTGCCTCTCCTGTTCTGTCTCTCCAGACCCCCTCCATGGCCCTGTCTGGGGCCCACCCACATGAGGCTGCACCAGAATCCTAAGGACACCCACCCCCCGGTTACCGGAGCTTTAACTAGAGGCTCAAGGGGCCTCAGGGCGGGCCCCAACCTTCCTGTTCCACATCCCCTTAGTCCTCACTCACCCCCACTCAGTCTTCACTCAAACCCACAGATGGACCACAGGACCGTGCCGCTTCCTCCTGCTACCCCTGATCCCTGCCCTTGGCCGTCAAGCGTTTCACTCTCGACTGGCACCGCCCCTGTCTGGAGGGAGGAAAGCTGGGAGGTCAGTGCTGGAGAGGCAGGAGAAACCGGAAGCCCAGCGAAAGCCGAGAAGGCGGAGCCACTGGCTGGCAAGCCCCACGGACAAGGGGTGCCAGGGCTCTGGGCCCCACGCGGAGGGGCGCTCAAGCCCCTCAGGGCATCTGCGTAGGCCAGCGAGCGAGGGGGCCCGAGGGCCAGGACCCCTCCCAGACAGCACCTGTCCACCCTGTTCCGGCGCCGTTCTCAGGTCAGCCCCTCAGCTCTTGCTCACGCTTCAGCACCCCTTTAACAAGTCAGTTGGGGACACTGGTATTGCAACACGGTTGCTTGCTCTGGAGTTGCCACAGCCAGGAGCAACCCTTTCCCAAAGCAGCGTGGGCGGCGCGGCCTCTGGGTTTCTCGTGTGTGTTTGACCTTCGCTCAAATTCAAGCTCCTTCACTGAATCTCAGACTCCCATGGGCACAGAAGTCTCCCTGGGGGGATCTTTCTAAAAGCAGTTTCTGGTGCTGACGGCCAGGGCGGGGGCCTGAGGCACGGCCCGCGGTCTGACCAGCCACGCGAGTCCTGAACAGCCT